TATAGATTTATGTAAACACCTCCATAATCAGAATACAGAGTAGTTTCATCATCTCCAGAAAACACTTTTGTGTTATTCCTTTATAGATACCCTCCCCCAATCCTAATTCCTAACAAACACTGATCATACAATATGTAAGCTTTTAGAACTGGCTTTGTTCACTCAGCATAAAGCCTTTAAGATTCATCTAAGTTGTTGGGTATATCAATACTACCTGCCCCCACTCACCTGTTTTTTTGTTTTGTTTTGCTTTGCTTTGCTGAGGAGCATCCATTGCAGGGATGTACCACACAGTTTGTTTATCCATTTACTCATTGAAGAATATTTTGGTTGTTTCCATTTTTTAATGATCCGGAGTAATGTTACTAGAAACATTTGTATATAGATTTTTGAGCGAACATCAGTTTTATTTCTCTAGAGAAAATAACCAGGAGTGGGATTGCTGGGTCATATGGTTAAGTGTATGTTTTACTTTTTATGAAACTATCATACTGTCTTTCATGGTAGCTGTACTGGATTTGCATTCCACTAGGAATGCATGAGGGTTTAGTTGTTCTTTGTCCTTATTACCACTTGGTACTGTTGGTTTGTTGTTGTTTTTTTAATTGGGGAAGGGTAACAGCTAAGTTGTTGTCCTTCAATCTTAGTTGTGGAGGGCACAGCTAGCTCAGCTCCAAGTCCAGCTCCCACCCATCCAGCCGCCCGTCGGCAGCTCATGGCTGCCCAGCTCAAGGTGCCTGTTCAATCTTAGTTGCAGGTGGGCATAGCCCTCCATCCCATGTGGGAGTGGAACCAGCAACCTTGTTGTTAAGAGCACGTGCTCTCATCAGCTGAGCCATCCTGCCACCTGTTGGCAGCTCAGCGGCAGCTCAGCTTGGGCGCAGCTCACTGGCCCATGTGGGAGTCGAACCGGCGACCCTGTTGCTCAGAGCTCATGCTCTTAACCAACTGAGCCACTTGGCCAGCCTGTACTGTTTTTATTTTTAACATTAGCCATTCTAATAAGTGTGTAGTGATATCTCATGGTGGTTTTAATTCGCATTTCTTGAATGGATGATGATGTTGAACAACTTTTCATGTGCTTATTTGCCATGTTTCAAGAATTGTGAAGGATCTGAGTTTTTACCCTACTAATAGGTAACAAGTTAGCCTGCCATAGTTTCATGGATGCTGGCAGAAGACATAAGATCCTGAGTCAGAGACAAAGGACTTTATTATTCACAGGACATCAACCAAACAAGCTTCATTTTCACATGGGCTACCCTCAGCCCCAAATCCCATGGGTACAGTGTCACAGCTGAGGAACCCAAGCTTTATGGAACGCAAATCTTTTATAATGGGCTGCAAATAGACCTGTCTGACTTTTGACCTGGAGGGAAACTTTGTATCTATTGTACTGGACAGTAAACTAACTTGCCCTCTGCTCTGGGGGGAGATAATCATGTGTTTATTTTAAGGATGTTAGTTAGATATTCAAACATCCTTGAAAAGATAATCTGTTGCAAAGGCCTCTTGTACTGAAATGTGAGAATTATCTCTGAACTGTATATCTTCTTTAATAAGTGTCTTTCAAGTCTTTTGTCTATTTTTTGATTGGGTGGTTTTACTTACTGTTGACTTTTGAGTTTTTTTCATATATTCTAGATACAAGTCCTTTGTTAAATATGTGATTGCAAGGA